ATTGAACCTCAAAGCAAGTCTACACTTTAGGTAATATTAGCTCATTTTACAGACAGGAAATCTAAATGTGAGGTTTAAATTTAAGTATCTTGCTCAAAGTATCATAAAAGTTGTGCAGTCAGGAATTAAATACTCAGTTTTAGTTGATCAAGTTCATGCACTCTCCATTGCAGACTGCGTATGTCTAGATTGGGAACAGAGACAAAGAGGGTGCAGGTGAAGATATGTTTGTGCGACTACTTGATGTTTCTTCAGCTCTTGTGATCACACTTAACTATAATGAAGGAGCTAGACTAAATGACTCAGAAATTTTCATCCTCTGTGGTTAGATTAATATGGGCTCTAATCTTTAGCACCGAGCCCTAGTGTGGCACTGTAGGCTAATGCGTCAGACTGCAAAGTTGTTTGAATTGCAAGGTCGGTTGTTCAAACTCACCAGCTACTCCTTGGAAACCCTATATAGGGTGGCTATGGGTCAGAATTGATTTGACGGCACTTAACAACAATAACTCTTTAGCACAAAATCTCATCAAGTTATTAAACCTCTATGGATTTTTTTCCTCTCCTATAAGATATATTTTATCTATGTGAAAATTCACAAATTATAAAGCACTACAGAGATATAATATGCTGTATGTGCTACCTTCAATGACCTGTCAACCTCCTTGACCCTCTGACCCATTCTCACTCTTCCCTTTATCCTATGCTATAGAGGCCAGGTTAAGATCGATTGTTCCACAAGTTATCTGCACCTCAGCATCTTTTCTACAATTTTTTTGGAAACAAAAATTCTCCTAGTTACCGTGTTCATTTGCTCTCAGCTGCCTTCTCTGTAACTTCATTTTCTTTGGTTATTCCCTTTAGTATTTCATTTGCTTAATCTTCCAGAATAGGCATAGATACCCATTCTCACAATCATCTCCTGTTCCTTCCCTCCCTCTTTCTTTTTAATTTTATTAAAAGTTTTGCAAGAAAAATTTTGAGTTCAGTGTGGTCTTATTTCCTCACTCCCCTTGTCACATTTTCTTGACCTTAGATCCTTAAAGGATTTCACACAGGAAATGACAAGATCAACAAAAGAAAATGTCAAAATAAAACATTTTCTTTTGTTGATCTTGTCATTTCCTGTGTGAAATCCTTTAATTACTCTAAGAGGATAAAAAGGGTCCCATCCTCTCTCTTCAACTTCCAAGTGTCCTTCTTGGTTACCTGGATTCCATTCCAGCCACGTTATTAAAATGATTTTCTCCCAGGTTACTAAATTCATTGCTTTTTTCTCTTAGCTTTGCATTTGTGTTTAATGTTGCTGACTTCTCTCAAAACATTCTCTTAGTTTTTCTGAGGTTTTATGCACTGCTCTGATTGCTAACGTCTCAATTTCCTTCACTAGATTTACCTTTTCATGACTGACTGACTCTTAAATGTAAAAACTTCCCAAATTATGAACTTGGTCCTTTTGTCTTCTCTACCCTTTTGTGTAGTCTATTGACTCTCATGTGCTTCAGTTGTTAACGTCATATAGGCAAGTTTTTACATTTTATCTGGACCACATGCCAACCTCCCGCAGAGCACCTATCCTTGCATTTCTAAATTATCCGTGGTAGTGGTGGTTATGTGTTGTCGAGTCAGTTCTGACTCACAGCCACCCTGAATATGGTTTCTGAGGCTGTAAATCTTTAAGGAAGTAGAAAGCCTCATCTTTCTCCTATGGAACTGCTGGTAGTTTTGAACTGCTGACCTTGCAGTTATCAGCCTGACTCATAACCACTATGTTACCAGAGATGTCCTTATATTATATGTAAAATTCACTATATCCTTAGTGGGATGCCATCACGCTTCCAAAACATTTCCTCTTCTATAGTACGTCTAGGCCTTCTCAATCATGACTATATCTCTAACATGTTCAGTCACATGTTAGCCCTCTCTCTGATTTTAACTTTTCCTTCTTATGCATGCCTCCTGTAAAGTGTCTCATGAACATCAACAGAATATACACTGGTCTAGCTTGAGTCCTGGAGTCCTGGTGTGGCACTGTGGGTTAATGTGCTGGACTGCAAGGTCGCTATGAACCACAAGGTTGGCAGTTCAAGTGCACCAGCTGCTCCTCAGAAACCCTATATAGAGTCACTATGAGTCAGAAGCAACTCCACAGCACTTAACAACAACAACAACAACAACAACTTGAGTCCTGGTATGGCGCTGCAGGATAATGCACTAGACTACAGACAGTTTGAGTCGCAAGTTCACACCTACCAGCCACTCCTCAGAACCCCTATACAGGGTCATGATGAGTTGGAACCGACTTGAAGGCACTCACCACCAACAACAACCAGATACTTGGAGTTCTGGTGTGGCATATGGGATAAAGCGCTAGACTGCAAAGTCAGTTTGAACCACAAGGTTAATGGTTCAAACTCACCAGCCACTCCTTGTAAACCCTACACAGGGTCACTATTTACTCAACTCGACAGCATTTAACAACAACCACAACTATATATTTTGGGTAGTGTGGTGACTCTCTAGGTTAAGCATTGAATTGTGAACCACAAGGATGGCTTTCTGCTCCTACAAAGATTTACAACTTCAGAAACCCTATGTAGGTCACCATGAAATGGAACTTAACAACAACAACAACAACAACCAGATACTCCACTTCCAAAATCTCATCTTACACACCATTGTCAAATTAGTCTACTTAATACAAAGTAAAAGTAACATTAATTCAGCATTCAATTTTCAGAATTATCCTACTTCAATATTCATGATTTTCTGTGCATTAACTAACCACAACATGTTAGTAAACTTACTCTCCACCTCCTTTACAAAGCTTCACTGGAGCCAGGTGCAACAGTTCTTAGTTTCTAGCGTTGGTTATGCTGGTTTCTCCATTTGTATTGTTCCTCTCACATGTACAGAAATAGTTATGAATACCATTTTCCATAAAACTTAACCTGATTCTCTGCTGAGATGCCCCCCAATCTACCTTGCCCTGTGAAGCATTGTGAATTCTACTGTTTGGCTAATGAACCTACCTTTAAAGTACAAGAGACACTGTCCCACGATGCTGAAATATGTACCTCATAGAGTAACCTATTGATAACTTTTTTTCTGTTGAGCCTTGTTTCCTCCTTGAAAGTAAGCCACCACAACAAACGAGTATTGGCTATAACCAGATCTGCCCCACCAAGCATGCACAGAAAAGAAAGTCACAACTTTCAGTTAATCCCAGTACAAAAGAACTTTGGTCAAGGAACAAAATGACACCGGAAAGATGTCACCAACTCAGACAACATTTAGAAGTGAGGAGTCCAACAAGACACTTCCTGGCCAAGGTTTGTAACCCTTCCCCAATGCATAATCTGGGAGCACTCTACTTCATGTGTGCATTATTCCCCCATTTACTTCTTGATTTATTGTTGTAAAGTGCTGTCAAGTCAATTCTGATCCACAGTGACACTGTATAAAGTTTCCAAGGAGTGACTGGTGAGCTTGAACCGCTGACCTAAAATTCAGATTGATTTTGAAGTCCTGTGCATTAATCCCAGAGCCACACCCGGATTCCACCTCCTGGTGGACATATTTAAAACTGCAAACCCCTTTGGTTAGCAGCTCATCTTCGTGACTATGGTCTTGGCTTTCTCTTTCTTCAATCAAACAAAGTAAAGCCTTCCCTTGACCTATGCCTTTCACCTAGTCTCTGGTTTTTGTTTTTTCTACCTCCTTCAGTCATGCTCAACGAGACCTAGGTTGATAACATTTCAGTTAGAAATGGTCACTTTAATTAAACTTCTATCTTGCATGACAGCTTATTTGTATACATATGTATTTTCTTTATTAAAATCAAAAGCCCAAAAGAAGACTGTATGCCCCATTCCTTCCTTTCATCCTGTAGAACATCAACACAACATTTTTATACAAGGAAGGTCCTCAATAAGTGTATGTTGAATAGAAAAAGCAACGAATGAGAAGTTATTGCTTTTGGAACTTGACAAAGAGTATCTTTTTAGGCGATGTTCCTGGTATGCCTAACATTTTATAGATTGCTACTATCTGATTCTTGCCATCCAGCAGAAAGGGACTCCAACAGTGATAGCTGTGATTCAAATGAATTCCTTTCCACCCAGAGTCCCTGAGCTCAGCATTTCATTCCAGTATTCTAGGTTGAACGTTTCTGGTCTTCAGTTTCACTTCACACAGACACTAATAGTCTTTCAGCTGGAGCAGCCCCACGAAAACATATGCTTTACAGTTCTCTTTCTTGGGTCCATCATTTAGCTCTTTTGATGAACATTTCTTCATACACTACAATGTGGAAAATTGATGGAGTGCTCCCAGATACTGTACATTCATTTTAATAGCACTTTTTGTGAGTCAGTGATTTGATATTTGTAGTTTAACCAGTAAAAGATTCAGGGAATGAGAATGTTAAGCTAAAACAGAGAGAAGAAACAAGGAAGAGTATCACTGAGCAAACTCTGAATTGCCCTAAAAATCTGCCTATGTTTATAACTGATGCTTTCTCCAAAGATGCCTTCCTTAAATACTTACATATATATTGTAGAAAGCTAGAGATGGAGGGATACAGAAAAATAATGAAAGCATGCTTAATTCTAATAGTAATGGTAACTCTAAAAACTTAAATAGCACTGACAGAGTGTTTACTGATTCAAAGCGCTTGGTGGAATGCTTCGTAACATGTTCCCATTAATCCTCACAATCCTCTGTGCTGCGTGTGTTATCCTCAGTCTATAAATGAGCTCACTGAGGTGAAGCTCATCGTGGTTAAGCACCTTGTTGAAGATCACAAAGGCAGACTGGGGGAGAGCCAGTCACTTCTAGGAAAAGAAGGGATGAAAATCAAGTACGTAACAACTCATTTAAAAATGAAATAATATGAAACAAGTATTATCAGCACAATAAAATGATTTTTCATTCCAGGAACTTATGTATGTGACAGACAATAGTGTGAAATACACATAATAACAAAGCAATATACTTACTCTCTGTCGATCACAAGGCAGGTAACAGCTTCTGCAGCAATGACGTTTGCTGTCCTCACATCTTCCCTGTACAAAAAATAGAAAGATACTAAAGTAAAATAGCTTCAAATTTCAAATACAAGTGTTCACTCTAATTCAGAAAACATACTAAATTATGGTGATTTATCTACTGTAAATTTAAGCTTTGCTCATGTTTCGAAATTTTTTTCTGAGAAACCACCTTACACTTGTTAATCTCACAAATTGAGTAGTTAGAATTTCCACATTTGAGGCTTCACTTAGACAAGAGAAAGAAAATTTGATGGCATCATTCCCTGTGCTCATAATACAGTTAATTGAATAATGATCATGAACATTTATAGATGAGTTTTGAAAGGACCTGAAGATCTGGCCTTCTCCTACAAAGATATAGGAAAAAGATACGGGAAACAGCAAAACATCATCATAGAGTATGAATCGACACATCATAAAACATAAATCCCCAGTGGTTAGTCATGATATGAAAATATTCTAAACTTCATCTCTACATCAGAAATACCACAAATGAATGACTTTACGAAACAGAAATTTATTATTTTATAGTTTGTTTTTATTATTGCTGTTAAGTGCCATTGAGTAGGTTCTAACTTATAGCCACGCTGCATAGGGTTTCTGATGAGCAGCTGGTAAGTTTGAACCACCGGCCTGTGGTTCAAACAGACCTTTCGGTCCAGTGCTTTATCCCACAGCACCACACCAGGACTCCTTTTATAGTTTGTTGTTGTTAGTGGCACAATTTGGTTTCCACCCACAGTGACCCTGTACGGGGTTTCTGAGGAGCAGCTGGTGAGCTTGAACTACTGGTAACCCTGAGGTTCAAATTTATCTTGCAGTGCAGAGTGTTAACCCACAGAGCGGCCCAAATTCAGAGTACCAGCTCTTGGGCAAGGCCCTTGCCTCCTTTCAGCATCTGTAGCCCAGAATTCCTACGAGATTTCCATGTATCTTAACATCAGTCATTCCCTGGATCTAGGAGCTTCACAGTGCAAAGACCTCAGGCCCAAAGGACACACTCCACTCTTGGCTCTTCTTTCATGTTGTGGGAGTGGGCCCTCTGAGTTCTGCACACGGGAATTTCCTTTACACTGAATCAGGGGTGTGATGGCATAGAGAGTGGCATAACCCACTCTTGTTCCTCTTATCGGTTTGTCACATCAGATCATACTTTGTGGGAACATTACATAACTGCCAAACCACTAAAAATCATGGCCTAGTCAAACTGACACATATTTTGGGGGGGAGGGGGGGCGGGGATATGACATTCAGTATCAGTGAAATATAAAAACCTATTCCTGTTTCTCAAATCAGCAAAAATTGAAGAGATCCCCCCTCAGCCAGAAAATGTGCAGACAGCCTGCTGCTGCCTCTCTGAAAGACAACTTGGAAATACTCAGTAAATTTTAAAAATAAGGTGTATTTCACTATTAGGAATTCTGTAAGTGAAACTAGGAGGCTTACGGCACTCTTCTTCGTGTGTGTGTTACGGGTTGTTGTTGTTGTTGTTGTTAAGTCCTGTCAAGTTGATTTCGACCCATAGCGACCCTGTATAGGGTTTCCAAGGAGCCGCTGGTGAGGTGTTATGGGTAGAGGATTTAAAATGAGGCTGTATCTCCATCAACAGGAGAAAAGGGGAACAAACTGTAATACTGAAATGTTTGAAATACTTAAGAAAAATGAGTTAGAGATAAGTATATTAATTTAGAAGGTCAGTATGTTTATCATTCTGTGTTAATACGTTAGATTAAGTGAAAAAGCAAGTTGCAAGACAGTTTGTAGAATAAAATGAATTTTAGTAAAAAGCCAAGTAATTTATTGCATACAGATATATACAAGGTCTATAAGGATAAAAAAAAAAATGCATTCAACCATCCCTCTCAGGATGCTGATATTGATTACTATTAGCCCAGTTTGGGGAACATGGTTGTTAATTTTCATTTTCATAGGATTCCATTGTTTAATTTGTAATTATGAGAAAAATTACGACATGTAATCTAATACAAATAAATCGTTTCAACATGATAAAAATGACTAGTCATTTAAATCACTGGTCTTAATTTTTCTCTTACTGTCCACAAAGGTACTGATGCTGTCACTCACCACTACTGGCTTCTTGAATTTTGCTAAGCATAAAAGCTCAATGTTATGGACTGAATTATAGTCCCCAAATATCTGTCAGTTTGGCTAGGACATGATTCTTATGATTAAGTGATTCTCCTCCATTTGGGGATCTAATGTAATTATTCCAAGCATTGTAAATCCTGACCTCTATAATGTTAATGGAGACCTGGTGTGATGCTGTAGGAATATGCACTGGACTGCAGTTCAAACCCACCAGCCACTCCTTGGAAACCCTGCACAGGATCACCATGAATTGGAACCCACCAAGTAACATTCAACAACAACAACAACAACAACAACACAGTGTTAATGAGGCCAGATCAGTGGCAGCAATGTTCACAAACCAGTATGAAATGTACAGGATTAGGTTGTATCTTGAGTCAACCTCTTTTGAGCTATAAAAGAAATTAAACAACAGAGATCAACGGACCTACTACCTCCTAAAACCAGGAAACAAAGAGAGAAAAAAGAATTTTCTTAGAACCTGCATTCCAAAATAGGATGTCTAGCTTCCTAAACTGTGAGAAAATAAAATTGTTAAAGCCATCCACTTTTGGTATTTCTGTTACAGCAGCACTTTGTTGTTGTTTTTGTTAAGTACAGCCACAGTGACCCTGTTTCCAAGGAGTACCTGGTGAGCTTGAACCACTGACCTTGCGGTTCAAATCTACTATGCAATCCAGCGCATTAACCCACATTAACACAGCAGCACTAGAAAACTGAAATATACATTCACAGTCCCCTTCCACTCCCCCGTAATGAGTAAGAATCAAGTTTCAGAAATTTCAAACATTTGTACTTGTAAGGTTAAACTGCAACTGTTAAGTGCCAGGCAGATGCTTCTGACTCATCACGTCCCTGTATAGGGATTCTGTGGCTTTAAATCTTTGAGGGAGCCCAAAGCCTCGTTTTTCTCCTGCAGAACCACCGCTGGACTTGAACTGCGGACTTTGTGGTTTGCAGTCCAGTGTTTATCATATGGAGCCACCAGGCTCCCACTTTAATCAATGGGCCTAATTTAATTATGTTAATCATATCAGAATTATATCAGTCTAATTTAATTATGCATCTCAGATCTGCATTCCCAATACAAAACATGCACACATACAGAACCTCTCCCCTCACCCTCATGATTTCTTCTTGCCATTAAAATAACAGAGGAGCCCTGGTGACCCTGAAGCATAAACACTGGACTGCTAACGTCAGGGAGGGCAGTTAGAACCTAACAGCTGCTCCTCAGAGAAAGATGAGGTTTTCTGCTCTGGTAAAGATTTTCAGCCTGAGAAACCCAACACAGGGTCACTATGAGTTGAGATCAACTCACAGGTAGTTGGTTTTAAGATAATGCAGACCTCCAACCATAACACTGTGGCACTGTGGGATAAGCAATGGACCAAAAGGTCAATGTGAACTACAAGGCCAGCAATACAAACTCACTAACCACTCCTTGAAAACCCTATATAGTGTAGGTATGAGTCGTCGCCAGCTCCTAATCTCCCTCATATTCTCTTCTCTCCAGCCAAACTGGGCTGAACACATCATTGCCTTCCTGTCCCAAGTTCTTACATGCTTTCCTTGGGCCTAGAATGCTCCTCTCCAATTCCTTGACTAATTCACTACAGTCTAAATGCTCCTTTCTTAGGATGTTATTCTGAACTGATAAGGCCAGGTTCCCTTTGTCTGATCTCATGGCCCTACATACACCTGTACATCCGTCTTTTCACATTTGTAACTGACACATCTATTTGTTTGGTCCTTTGGTTAACGTCTCTGTCTCTCCACCCTGAACCATATCCTCATATGGCAGGGATCTTGGTTAATTTTGTTTCCTGTTTTATTCCAAATGCCTGGCAGACAGGAGGTGCTTAGTAAGTGGGTATTTGAGGAATGGCATAGACACCATATCCCCAGGCATTGGGTGGCCTAGCAGAGGTAATGTTTTGGAATTACATTGCATTGGTTTTGTGTATCCCAGGTGTAACGCTCTGCTCAGAAGTCATGGTAAAATTCTTAGCTTCCTTATCTGTAAAATGAGATGAATAAGAATGTCTGGAGTTAGAAAACCAAAAGGGGAGAATGTCTTCAGCATTTTTCAAGCTGGAAGAATTAAAGAAAAAATTCAAGTCTCAACTTAAAAGATTCTATGGGCAGAATTTTTAATGATGCAAAAAGCATCAAAAGATGATGTAAGGTATACAGAGAGTCACTGTACCAAAACAAAATGGATGATGTTCAACCATTTCAAGAAATCGCATATGATGAAGAGCCAATGATTCTGAAGAAAGAAGTCTGATGTGCACCAAAGGCACTGGCAAAGAACAAGGCTCTGGGAATTGATGGAATACAAACTGAAATCTTTAAACAAACTGATGCAGCACTGGAGACACTCACTCATCTATGCCAAGAAATTTGGAAGACAGCTACCTGGTCAACTTATTGGAAGAGATCCATATTTGTGACTACTCCAAAGAGAGGTGATGCAATGGAATGCAGAAATCTTCTGACAATATCATTAGTATCACATGCATGTAAAATTTTGCAAAAGATAATTTAAAAATGCCTGCCACAGTACTTTGACAGGCAATGGCCAGAGGTTCAAGCCAGATTCAGATGAGGATGTAGAATGAGGGATATCATTGAGACATCAGATGGATCTTGACTGAAAGCAGATCGAAAGATGCTTACCTGTATTGTATTGACGATGCAAACTGTGTGGATCATGACAAGCTATGGACAAAATTATGGATAGTGAATATTCTGAAACACTTAACTGTGCTCATGAGAAACCTGTACATAGACCAAAAGGCAGTCATTTGAAAAGAATGTGGGGACACTGAAGGGTTAAAATCAGGAAAGGTGTTGTCCAGGGTTGTATTCTTTCAACCATACTTGTTCAATCTGTATGCTGA